TCAATTATTTATTAATTTTAAATTAAAAAATAAAATTTAGAAAATTATGTTAATAGGTTTTTGAAATCCGTTAATATATATGTTAAATGTTTTCGAACCGTTTAACATATTTTTTTAAAATTTATTTTTAATTTATATTTTAATATATATTTAATTTATTTTAATATTTTAATATGATTTAATATTTAAATTATATTAAATTAGATTTTATATTAGGGTTAAATATGTTTTTAGTCCTTATACTATCAAGCGGTTTTGGTTTTAGTCCCTCTTAAGGTACATTTTAGTCATCCTTTTTAAGCAAACTTTGATTTTAGTTCTCCAAAACTAACACAGTTAAAAATCAACTGATGTAGCTAACGGTAGACTGACACGATTTTTTTTTTGCGTTGAGTCAGTGTTTCTCACCTTTTCTCCCTCTGTCTCCCTTGTCTCTTCCTTCCATCTTCCACCGATATCAACCTCACCACCCGTATCACCTCCCACCGAGCTCCAAATTCACCTCTAATTACCAAAACTCCAAGTTCACTTACCTGTAAGGACAAAATACCAACACTAACCTGAATCCGCTTTTCCATTTAACTAAGATAACATCAAAATCACACTTACTCATTTCCTAACCTCCAACAATGAAACCCCCAAGCCCAAAGCGGAGTCCCAATCGAATCACCTCTAGGATAGAGGCGTTTAATAGAAGATTCCCAAATCTCTAACATTCGAGAATCGCGGCGAGGAAAAATCAAGCTGAGGAAGGATCTGTCGCCACGACGGGCGCTGCACTCGGCGGTGAACGACGGCCGATTTGGCAAAGGCAACGACGTGGGTGGCGACAGTCTTGAACTCGAAGGAGAGGGAAAGGGTATCACTGATTCTTCGCAAAGAAGAGAAAAGAGAGGAATCTGACGTAGTGGTGCTGACTACGTAACCGGCAGCGACCCTAGCAGTGATCGGTAACGCTGGCGACACTCACCTTGCGACTAGCTGCGGCTGATTCGGCGGAGGCTGTGGCGTAGCGTGCAGCGGAGGCAATTTTTCCCTGCTCTAGAGAAGAGACTCTAGTCTCGTTGTGCAAATGGAACGAGGATGACAGACCCCTAATGTGTTCTGATCCGCACACCCTATTTCTCATCTCGCACCCCTCAAGAACATCGACTACGACAACAACAACGAAAACGACAAGGACGACGAGTTGTCAATGACCTTTTTACAGAGGGTGGGGAGGTTGGGTGGAAGCTGGAAGCTGGAAGGAAGAGACGAGGGAGAAAAGGTGAGAAACACTCAGCGCAAAAAAAAATTTGTGTCAGTTTACCGTTAGCCATATCAGCTGGTTTTTAACGGTGTTAGTTTTGGAGAACTAAAATCAAAGTTTGCTTAAAGAGGAAGACTAAAATGTATCTTACAAGGGACTAAAACCAAAACCGCTTGATAGTACAAGGACTAAAATCATATTTAACCCTTTATATTATTTTTAATATTTTTAATATTTTTAATAATATTATCATAATTGTAATAATAATTTTTAAAATAATAATCTATATTAAAATAAATTAAATATTTTGTAAACTTTATAATAAAAATATTTGAAAAAATTTTAAAAATTTTAAAAATTTTAAAAATTAAATTAAAATATCAAATTAAACAAATTATTTATTAAATTTTAAATTAAAAAATAAAATTTAGAAAAAATATGTTAAACAAATTTAGAAATCCTTTAAAAAAGTTTTCAAAAACAGTTCAATCTTTCAACAGTTTAAAAAATAGTTGAAAATTTTTAATATATATTTTCACAAAAATTATTAAAAACTAAAATTAGAATTCAATTTTTCGGAGAAACTGTATTTTAAGAAATTTTGTTGCAAAAATTATTAAAATAAGAAATTAGAATTTAATTTCTGGAAAACTGAATTTTAACTTCTTACAAAACCATTCTATCATACTATCGAGGTAAATATTATCACGTGCTATCCTCGTAGATTAAAAAAAATATGCTATCAGAAAAAAAAATCGCATATATTAATCAGTTTATAATCACAAGAAATTGTCATTCCATTTAAGCAATACATTATTACAATGGTTTACATTTTGAAGCACCAGTGATGCTTTTCTTAGACCCTCAAAACAATCTTTTCCTCGTTGTATTTCAGAAAAGAAGAAAGTTTTGGTTATGCAGAAGTAAATTAAACAGCAGGAATATTCACAGTCTAGAATACTTCCTGAGTGTTTCTGCTGCATCTTTTGCATTGTCTGGGACAGGCATGTTGGCGAGTAGAGTAACCCTTGACGATGATGTCAGAGATCTCTTTTCTTTGTTTGAAGGATCAAGCTTCCAGATTCTCACCTCCCATACCTGATTTCATGAAAAACTTAGATGGGAAACAAACTAATCTCAAACGAATGGTCTTAAAAACATATCCTAAAATATACTTACAGGGCTATTAGTTCCAATCAATTCCTAAAGCCAGATTATAAATAATAATTCAACCTATCTTGGTATTTTATTTGTCACAGATGCCAATCTAAAAAAGAAATATTTGAAATCAAAGCTTCTATCATTTAATATTTAGTATATATTTCAGACAGATGTATAACTTGCTTGATAAAGAAATAAAAATGAACAAAAAAATACAATTTCATATACCAAGTTCACTATTTCCTCTTCTTTTTCCTTACCATGTTACCGACCATAGTGTCCCTACGGACTTTACTCTTTTGGGTCAACAACACGTGCACATTTATTCTAACCAGAAAACAAGAACATGATGAGGTAGTTTATTATCAATTAGTTTGATTTTTAGTCTATTTGATTGGATCTGTGGAGTAAGCCAAGAAGAAGAGAAAGAAGAAATTGAAATACCTGAATGGTTTTGCCAACATTTACAGGGGTAGCTTCTGCATAGACCATGTCACCAAGCACAGCACTTTTCAAATGGTTGATGCTGAGCTGAATCCCAGCCACTCTTTTGTAACCACCAGCTATGTGGGCACCTATGCTCGCAAGAGCCTCTGCCACCAATGCCGACACGCCTCCGTGCAGCACCTTGAAGGGCTTCACCATGTGCAAAATTAAACCATCAAGTTCCCATCTTTACTAAAGACAAACAAAAAACCAGAACAAAGTAAAAGGTTTCTTTTTTTTTGTGTGGTTTGGAGGAAAAGAAAGCAAAACCTGGCAGCACTTTTGTGTAACAGGGAGATAGCCAGATACTCTTTTTGGAGACAAATCTTGAATCTGAAATCCAATTGAATGGAGAGGAGCATCTAGTTCAGAAGTTTTTGATGATTGCTGCCGGTTTTCCATTTATCAGCAAAGTTCGATGAAAAATGGGTTTGGTTGGAATAAACTATGATGAAGAACTTGTCATGAGAAACAAGATGACAGCGGAAATCTTCGAGAGTTGGTGAATGGGACGAACGAGAGTTGGTGGTAGGTGAGAGAGTTTTTCACGTTGTGGAAGGTAAGCTCTAAAACTCAATTTCTGACTTTTTGGATATCTTTGCCATAAACTATTTCATATACTTTTAAACAGATAAACTTTTTATATTCATTTAATATTATCATTTTTTTTATCTTTTAAAAAAATACAAAAAAAATTCTTTTATGATTATTTTACTTTTTTTTAAAATGTGTTATAAATAAATATAAATTTATGTTACTTTATCATTATTATTTTTTTAAATCTTGTGATGATTTTAAAAATATTTGTGATACAGATAAAAAAATATCAACACAAATATAAAGATTATTTACCCTAAAGTTAACATTTTTAAAGTAAATTTAAAATGCGTTACCTGTACCATGTGTGAAAGGTACAACTAAGCTATCACCAATCTCTCACTGTAACAAGTAACAAATATTTTTTATGAATATTAGAAAATTTTAAATCTATATGGTAACTGCTGAATTTTTATGAATCTACGAATTAAGTAGCTACAAACTACATTAACTTTGTAATGTTTATTAAAACTTCAAATAACCAGCTATACAATAAAAATTATCAGCATAAATTGTGTCGATTGATTTTTTTTTAATTTAACATAACGTTTAATTTTATCCTCCTTCTATTGAATTTTATATTCTAGAGATATATAAACTTTAATAATTTAAATCAATTGTTGATTAGAAATAAATTTTCAAAGTATGCTTTTAAAATATACTTCGATTGAAAAGAACCGTGTGTAATCTACTAATGTGCTTTGGTTATGTAATTGAAAGTATTAATTCAAAATATTACTATTTAATTTGTACTTTTATTTTTATAATGTGATTCTGTTATGATTTTATTTCATACGAACTACTTTGTATTTAGATTGCGATATTATATTTTCAAACGTTTAAAAGATTTCTTATCTGTTTTCTGATGTGACGTGTAAATTCAAGTAATTTTTTGAAAAANTTGGTTAGATTATTTCAGATGCTTACTTTCATTGAAAGATATTTTCATTATTTTATTCTTAAGCTTCAATTATTATATTATGTTTTGAGAAGACTAGTTTTTGTGTATAACTTTATCCTGGTCCATTTATTGGTGGGGCTGATCTTTTATTGTGGAGTCACTGCCTTTTGCTCTGCTTTTAAATTTTAGAATTGGCAGTGTTGATGGGTTTAAATGCAAATTTAGGTTTGGGCAGAGAACAGTGATATATGTATTTGTTGTGTAAGATATATTGGGTTTTAAGACTGCTTCAACGTTTGCGCATACAACAGTGCTATATCTATTTGTTCTCTAAGGTATCTTTGGTTTTAAGATTCATTCAACGTTTGTGCACAGAACAGTGTTATGTCTATTTTCTATAAGAAAAATAGTATTTGATACATCTTAATTTTTTACTTCATGAAACTATTTTTCTCTATTTTTTACTTTGTTTTCTTTTTTAAAAAAATACAAAAATTTATATTTTTATAATCATTTTAATCTTATACTTATTTTATGTCAAATAAATATAAAAATATATATAATACTCTTACTTTTTATTTAAGTCATTTTACAATTTATTCACATTTATGTTATATCTATCAAAATTAAATTGGACCACCACAGTTAGGTATATCATAAATTTGTTGACTTCTATAATAACACTCAAAAATAATGTAATGATGATTTTTATAGGTGGCGTGTTTGCTTTGTAGTGTTAGTTTTTTTCATTCATATATTAGATTTTTTTTCTAACATAACATATTTATTTATTTATGAGATAGCACAGTGTAAATAATATTTATCTTAATAATATGATTTTTTTTAAGAGGTTAAAATTTGATTTCTGAAATGTTGAATTCTGATTTTGTTAACGGATTTTCGTTTAACATGTTTTTAATTTTTTTTATTTAAAATTTAATAAATAAATAATTTATTTTATATTTTAATTAAAATTTTAAATTTCAACAAATTTTTTAAATTACTTTTAATATAAATTTAAAAAATATTTAGTTTATTTTAATATATTGAAAATAGTAATAATAATAATATAAAATATGATTTAACATATTAAATCACACTAAAATATTAAAATAAATTCATTATTTATTAATTTAAAATTAAATAAAAATTAAGAAAATATATTAAATGGTTTTCTTCGTTAAACCGTTTAACATACTTTAAAAATTTTATTTTCTAATTTTAATTTTAATAAATAATTAATTTATTTAATATTCTAATATATTTTTTGAATTTAACAAATATTTTAATTTATTTTTATTATAAAATTTAAAAAAATATTTAGTTTATTTTAATATAATTTAATATATGTTATTATTTTAATAATATTTATGTCAATTATAATAATATTAATAATAATAATAACAACAACAATAATTGATTTAACATAATTTAATATATTCAATTATATTAAAATAACTCAATTATTTATTAATTTTAAATTAAAAAATAAAATTTAGAAAATTATGTTAATAGGTTTTTGAAATCCGTTAATATATATGTTAAATGTTTTCGGAGAAACTGTATTTTAAGAAATTTTGTTGCAAAAATTATTAAAATAAGAAATTAGAATTTAATTTCTGGAAAACTGAATTTTAACTTCTTACAAAACCATTCTATCATACTATCGAGGTAAATATTATCATGTGCTATCCTCGTAGATTAAAAAATAAATATGCTATCAGAAAAAAAAATCGCATATATTAATCAGTTTATAATCACAAGAAATTGTCATTCCATTTAAGCAATAAATTATTACAATGGTTTACATTTTGAAGCACCAGTGATGCTTTTCTTAGACCCTCAAAACAATCTTTTCCTCTTTGTATTTCAGAAAAGAAGAAAGTTTTGGTTATGCAGAAGTAAATTAAACAGCAGGAATATTCACAGTCTAGAATACTTCCTGAGTGTTTCTGCTGCATCTTTTGCATTGTCTGGGACAGGCATGTTGGCGAGTAGAGTAACCCTTGACGATGATGTCAGAGATCTCTTTTCTTTGTTTGAAGGATCAAGCTTCCAGATTCTCACCTCCCATACCTGATTTCATGAAAAACTTAGATGGGAAACAAACTAATCTCAAACGAATGGTCTTAAAAACATATCCTAAATTATACTTACAGGGTTATTAGTTCCAATCAATTCCTAAAGCCAGATTATAAATAATAATTCAACCTATCTTGGTATTTTATTTGTCACAGATGCCAATCTAAAAAAGAAATATTTGAAATCAAAGCTTCTATCATTTAATATTTAGTATATATTTCAGACAGATGTATAACTTGCTTGATAAAGAAATAAAAATGAACAAAAAAATACAATTTCATATACCAAGTTCACTATTTCCTCTTCTTTTTCCTTACCATGTTACCGACCATAGTGTCCCTACGGACTTTACTCTTTTTGGTCAACAACACGTGCACATTTATTCTAACCAGAAAACAAGAACATGATGAGGTAGTTTATTATCAATTAGTTTGATTTTTAGTCTATTTGATTGGATCTGTGGAGTAAGCCAAGAATAAGAGAAAGAAGAAATTGAAATACCTGAATGGTTTTGCCAACATTTACAGGGGTAGCTTCTGCATAGACCATGTCACCAAGCACAGCACTTTTCAAATGGTTGATGCTGAGCTGAATTCCAGCCACTCTTTTGTAACCACCAGCTATGTGGGCACCTATGCTCGCAAGAGCCTCTGCCACCAATGCCGACACGCCTCCGTGCAGCACCTTGAAGGGCTTCACCATGTGCAAAATTAAACCATCAAGTTCCCATCTTTACTAAAGACAAACAAAAAACCAGAACAAAGTAAAAGGTTTCTTTTTTTTTGTGTGGTTTGGAGGAAAAGAAAGCAAAACCTGGCAGCACTTTTGTGTAACAGGGAGATAGCCAGATACTCTTTTTGGAGACAAATCTTGAATCTGAAATCCAATTGAATGGAGAGGAGCATCTAGTTCAGAAGTTTTTGATGATTGCTGCCGGTTTTCCATTTATCAGCAAAGTTCGATGAAAAATGGGTTTGGTTGGAATAAACTATGATGAAGAACTTGTCATGAGAAACAAGATGACAGCGGAAATCTTCGAGAGTTGGTGAATGGGACGAACGAGAGTTGGTGGTAGGTGAGAGAGTTTTTCACGTTGTGGAAGGTAAGCTCTAAAACTCAATTTCTGACTTTTTGGATATCTTTGCCATAAACTATTTCATATACTTTTAAACAGATAAACTTTTTATATTCATTTAATATTATCATTTTTTTTATCTTTTAAAAAAATACAAAAAAAATTCTTTTATGATTATTTTACTTTTTTTTAAAATGTGTTATAAATAAATATAAATTTATGTTACTTTATCATTATTATTTTTTTAAATCTTGTGATGATTTTAAAAATATTTGTGATACAGATAAAAAAATATCAACACAAATATAAAGATTATTTACCCTAAAGTTAACATTTTTAAAGTAAATTTAAAATGCGTTACCTGTACCATGTGTGAAAGGTACAACTAAGCTATCACCAATCTCTCACTGTAACAAGTAACAAATATTTTTTATGAATATTAGAAAATTTTAAATCTATATGGTAACTGCTGAATTTTTATGAATCTACGAATTAAGTAGCTACAAACTACATTAACTTTGTAATGTTTATTAAAACTTCAAATAACCAGCTATACAATAAAAATTATCAGCATAAATTGTGTCGATTGATTTTTTTTTAATTTAACATAACGTTTAATTTTATCCTCCTTCTATTGAATTTTATATTCTAGAGATATATAAACTTTAATAATTTAAATCAATTGTTGATTAGAAATAAATTTTCAAAGTATGCTTTTAAAATATACTTCGATTGAAAAGAACCGTGTGTAATCTACTAATGTGCTTTGGTTATGTAATTGAAAGTATTAATTCAAAATATTACTATTTAATTTGTACTTTTATTTTTATAATGTGATTCTGTTATGATTTTATTTCATACGAACTACTTTGTATTTAGATTGCGATATTATATTTTCAAACGTTTAAAAGATTTCTTATCTGTTTTC